GTAGCCAAAAGCCCCATAAAAATAAATAAATGAAAGAGGAAAAAAAGAAAAGATGGGGAGATATAGGAGGTGCTGGAGGGGAGGGAGTGGGCATGGATTTGATCAAATCACCTTATATGCATATATGAAATTCTCAATAAAGTTTTTGTAAAAGTTAAAAAAATAGAAAGTACAATAAATAACTTAGTGATGGGAAAAAAATAAAAAGAGAAAATCTCCCAAAGCCTCACCTTCACCTGAAACTATAATCAGGGGAGATTCCAGATGAGTCCATTGCAGTGCTCAGAAATTTGAAAGACGGGCCACGTGTACCCTTGCACCAGCGCCTTGCACCCTTGAAGCACAGTTTGCTTGATTTCCAGGCATCCATGCTCATTTCTCCTGGTTATGCTCCTGTAGATCACTGTCCAGGCACCTGAGAATAAATGAATTCAGTTAAGCCGCCAATCGCTCTTGTCTCTGGAGGTAATCAAACCCTGTGCCAAGCTAATTTGGCCTGTTTCATTCAACGAACTGTTCTGCACCATTCTTGAAGAGCAGTAACCCACACTACCCTGGCAGCTATTTCATATTAGGGAATTTTCTAGGTGCTTGGAGAGGAAATAGGCTGTTCCCATCTCTTGACTTTCTAATTTAGTTTAGTGTCCTGTGAGAAAGAGAGTTTGTTTCTCTTTTGGAATCTTTCTACAGCAGAAATATGCATTTAAGCAAACTTAGCAGCCATGTCCATAACAGTTTTGCAGATTAAATGCAATGCTCTAGACAACTATACTCACTAAAGCTGTTCCTTTCATGCCTCTGAGATTTTTGCATCAAAACCCTGCACTGTGCATCCTTAACCCTAGGCCCCTTGGGCATTGTTCTGTCTAGTTTATTATTTATCTTTGTCTCTGACACAACTACTAGATCCAGTGGATCAAGAGAACATGAAAACCACATAGTAGTACCTCCTGAATATGTGACCCACTGAGATCACAACCTCCTGAATATGAGATCACATATTCAGAACACAAAAATCACATAGTAATACCTCCTGAATATGTGATCACTGAGATCACAACCCCTCCAGGAAAATCTGCCCCAAATACAGGTTCCCCGGCTGAGTATACAGCTAAGACGGATCCCAACTGAGGATGCAAACTGAGGGAAATAGCTTTGCACAGCCAAGTCGTCTTCAGAAAGCAGACACTATTCTTGAGAGAATGGATTTCTGTGCCTTTAAAAGGTATGAATGTGGGCTGGAGAGATGGCTCAGGAGTTAAGAGCACTTGTTACTCTTGCGAAGGACCTAGATTCAGTTCCCAGCACCCATGTCAGGAGGGTCACAACCACCTGTAAGTCAGCTCCAGGGAATCTGATGCCCTCTTCTAGCCTCTGGGGGCACCATCACACACACACACACACACACACACACACACACACACACAAATAAAAGGAAAATCTTTTTAGAAAAAAGTATAAATGTAAAACAAAATTTCATTGGCAAGAACCTGTCTTGATGAGCCCTTTCATTAGAACTGGGTCACCTTCTTGAATTCTGTGTCTTGTGGAAGGATGGCCTCTTTATTTCTCCTGAAGTTAAAGAGTCTGTGCTTAGGGGAAGCAAGATGGGGGAGGACTTTGGAAATGTCTGCAAAGACCATGAGAGAAACCGGGTGCAGAGGAGACAACTGTGGAATGCCCCCTGGAATAACAATGCAAAACCAGTTAAGTTTAAAGGATGCATGGGAGGTGTGTGTGTTCAAGCCACCTCACTTTGCAGACAATTGGAATTATATACAAGAGAAAGTTCTTTATCTCTGATGCCTCAATCGCTAAGAACCAAAGTGGGGGTGGGTGGAGTAACCTGGACCAGGTTCCAGTTCCCCAGAACAGGCTAGACCAAGTAGGGCAGCAGAGTGGATAGTGGCAGTGTTCAAGAAAAACTCGGGCGCAGGCCCTCCCCTCAGATCCAGCTCACTCATTGCGCCCCCTCCCGGTCGTGGGAACCGCATATTCGCTCCAGCCAAGTGGGAGGTAGTGAGGAGCCCACATTCCCATCTTTCCAAAGCCAGAAAAGAATCCTACCAGCACGCGTAAACTGATGCCTGCACTTAAGCTCTTTCTTACTTTCCCCAGGAATAACTTATTAGTGACATAAGGGAATGGTGGGTACTCGGGGTCTAAACCCTAAAGGTTGCCCCCAGCACTGGGCACCCGGGTTTCCAGGTTCACTTTGGAAGGGCACAGGGGCTGGCCTGTTTCCTGGCGGGCTCCGGAACCCTGTCCATCCCGGGCTGCAACCACGACGAGGCTGGGAGGTGGGTGGGCGGGTGCCGGGGGTCGGTCCTCCTGCATCTCTGCCGCCCGCCCCCGCTGTTTTGCCGGGGTGTCACTGTGTCCCCTCAGTTCTCCAGCGCGCGGCGCTGCGCTCGCTTCTATGTGGAGTCGCTTCGTGCGCTGACAGCCAGCGCGGCTCAGCCAGGGCTGGAACTGAGTAGCTTTCATTGAATCTGCGGATTTCATGACATCTCCCTGCGTGGTCTTTCACTTTGCTCCTAACGGAGGATTTTCCCCCGCCACTCTTGCCTTTGACCCTTCCCTTGCAGCCGGGCTCCCTCCCGCGTCCCTGCCCACACGCGCACCCCTTCGCCCGCTCCGGCCCGGCGCCCAGCCCTCCGCTCCGCTCTCAGCCAGAGGGAGCAGTCGCCAGACGGCAGCACCTGGCTGGAGAGGTTGGTCGGGTGGAGGGTGGGGATCCGCGGGAACCCGGGAGCTGGACCCGGAGCTGGACCAACCGCCAGAGGAGAATGGAGTCTCCCCACAGCCTGCCAGGACTGATGTGAAATTAGACCATCTGCTTCCAGTTTTTCTCTTTCCTCCTCTTTTGGTATTTCCTTTCTCCATCCACCGTGGAGCAATTATTAAATCTTGCTCCGTTCCAAGAGAGGCCATCATGATGGACTGAACCCACCCTGTCCAGCACAAGGTAAGCGGTGCGCTGAGTTGCTGGAAGGCGAGGAGCTGGCGTGGATCCGGGCCAGACGTTCTGCGCCCTCGGGTCCCAGCTCCCGGGTCCCCAGCCCCGGTGGTGGCTGCGATGCATCCCCACTCCGCAGAGAAGCTTGGGTACCCAAGTCCACCACAGGCAGAAAAACGAGTTACATAACCGAAGGGAAATGTGTCTCACGGGGTTTTCATTAGCGACTGAAAACTCGCCTGGGGCGGTGGGGGTGGCGGGAGGAGGGGTCACGGGTCACTCTTACAGCTTTCATTTCAGCACCGCTGGCTGAGACCGAACGCACTGATGATCTGGCAGGCTCGGCTTGTGGTGTGAGCAGGCAGAGTTAGGAAAAGCCCTTTGTCTTGGTAGAAAGCTGTAGCCTAGCTCTGCCTTTGCTTAGAAAGGAGAACATGCGGGGGGGGGTGAGCGGGGGGGGGAGAAAAAAGAGACCACGAGAAAGGAACTCTGCACTGCCGTCTCAGTAAACCCTGAGATGTGTCATGCTGATTGGAGACGCTGAAGAGGAAGATGTCCCCACAAGTAAACTCACTGGAAGTGTAGGGGGGGAACACCCTTTGGGTAAAAGGAGGTGTTTACAACATTTGGGGAGCTAGCTGAATCTGCTGACAATTTCTCTCCTGGGCATATGTTCATCTGCATCAAGACATTAAGCTTGGATTAGTTTTTAACTGAAATCACATTCATATTCCCCAAGCTCCCCCCCCCAAAAAAAAACCCTGGGTGGATCCACAGGTATGTATATCTCTTGTACAGGGCTCAGTATGAAGAGACTCTTGGAAAACATGCTTTCATAAAGGCAGTCACAGAAATGGGATGAGGTTAGTGGCAGAAATTTCCAAAGAAGCCCTTCTCCACCCCCAACTCTACCCCGCCCCCTCAAAGGAAGATGGAAAAGCCCTCCAGTGTTTAAGAGTTGGAGATTCATTACACCTTTCAAGTGTCCCTGACTGCTTTATCCAAAGTCTTGGGGTCCCGGGGAGCCCACAGGTACAAGATGCAATGTCACTTCTCCGCCAGCGCTCTGCCCTGGATACCTTTCTTTCCCTGAAAAACGGAGAAGAGGGGGTATCCAGGGACTGCTTAGTGAGAAAGGGGGTTTGGTATAGTCAGGGCTGAGCTAACTAAGCTTCGCCCATTTTGCCTGGAGCTGAATCTCCATGGCGACCCAGGCGGGAGGGGACATGGCAGCTCCCAGCAACGGATAAAAAAGCATTGGACAAAACTTTCCTGGCTTCATGTAAAGATACCAGCCGACCATACGCCTTGTAGAAGGTCCTGGGGCATCAGATGGGCACAGATCCCTAGTGGTGACCCGCGAGAGAGCGCTTAGACCCGGACAGGCTCCCCTCCAGCAGGGCAAAGTTTCTAGATCTGCCGTTATGGTTCCAAGCAGGCTCCAAATTCAGCACCAAGGCCAGAGCAAGGCACGGAGCGTCTATGTCTGGGTTAGGACTGCTCCCCAGCGCGCGAGTTCTAGATCCTTTGGTCTTAGAAAGCCAGTCATTTTCTGTAAAGGAAGGATTCCCTGCCCGTGCCAAATCTGAGTATTAGATTATCCATGGAATTACATGCAGCACGGGAGTTACCAAATCGTCCATTTCATGCGTGATGGTGAATCAAAGGAACTGTTCAAAACAAAAAACAAACAAAACAGAAAAAAAACCCACTAAAATACAAGCCTGAAGCCAGCCTGAGAAGAAAAGCTTGGTCCTCTGGGAAAAAAAAGGAGGCAGAGGCTTTCTCACACCCTCCCTCCCTGTCCCTCCCTCCCTCCTTCCTGCCCTCCCTCTTTCCCTTCCTACCCCCCTCCCTGTCTCTCTCTCCTTCTCCCTCTTTCCCTCCCTCCTTCCCTCTCCCTCTCTCCCTCTTTCTGTCACCGGGTCGGGAGCTCACCAGGTAGTTCTCATCCTGAAAAGCGAAGTGCAGCTGCGTGATCCAGCGCCCCACCCCCACCTCACACACACACACACTCCTCTGTAACTTTGTGTCAGGCATAGATGTCAGGAAGGTACTGTGATCCTGGCCAGTAAGAGACCAGCCAACCAAGTCCTGCCCAGAGGTATCAAAGATCCAAGAGGGCGGAGAAACAGTTTGCTCTAATCCAGACTTGGCCAGATCCTTAGCAGAGTGAAGAGCTCTTGTGTGAGGGAGTCACTGGTGGATCTTCAAGCCAGCGGATGAGTGAGGTAGCTGCACTTCCAAAATTGCAGACATAGGAAACTTACATGAATCCTTTATATTAATAATAACAAGGGAGAGACCGTGCAGGAGGGAAGGATTATTATCATCCAAGTCCATTTGGACACTGATACAGGGATAATCAGGTAAGTGCATGGACATTCAGTCTTAGCTCACCAGAAGTTGGTCTCTACTCTGCTCCTTTCATCCGTGGTAGTAGGCCCCCATTGATCCTGACTGATGAGGAAAACAGTGCAGGAAGGTAGCAAGTCGTATATCAAGTAAAGAATCCTTTGATGACCACATCCAGGTACAGCAGGTGCAGTTTAAATCGTGGGACTTCACCAAGGTTTAACAAGGGAAGGAACTGTTCTACAGTATCTCTGACTGCTTCTCTCTTTTGAGGACACATTTGTGTGTGAGATCTTGAATTGGTTTGGGTTTGTTATTCATAATGGTAAACACAACGTGTCTTAGTATGTAGCTGGGCTTTCCAACCATAGGTGTGTTGTTTCCTAAAGAAAACACATTCAGAGTACTCAGGATGTGGTTAAAGCAACATGTTGACAGCTTTTAGCTTTTTAACTCATCTCTAGCTAGTGAACAATGCATTCCCAACATGGGGAAAGAATGAGGTAGTCCATGATTTTTGAATTTCAGGTTGTTATGGTTATTGACAAGTTCATCTATGTTTTACTTTGTGCAGATTGCTTTCTAAACTTGAGTTGATGCATACAGTGTTCCTGGAATTTAAACAAGCTATACTGTTGTTCTATTCCATCTGATATTACCACAGAAGGGAAACAGAGATTGATTATGAAGACAGACCCATACAATAATATAGATTGTTAAGTAAAGCAATGTGTCTGTGAGTTTTAAAGTTCAAATCCTCTCATGAACTTGAAAAGAGGATATATATATATATATATATATATATACATATATATGATAAGACATTGCTCAGTCTGTAGTTCAGTGTGCATTCTATGTATAAGTCAACTAATATAAGTTACCTGATTTCTCAAGCAATAGCCTTTAGTCCTGGTGAATTCTGGACTTACGGACTCAGTACTAATTTACCAAACTATGGCTTGCTTACTTCCTGGGTGGCAAATGCTAAAAATGGGTCACTGTACTCTTAGGTAGTCAACAGCACACTCTAAAATAAGTGGTTTACCCATTTCACAGAAGATTTAAAAAGAGCAGCTTTATAAAATCCATCCCTGTGTGCTGTTCTCTTTTGCAATTTTTAAGAAATTACATTGCTGCCTCACCTTTGTGTTTACAAAGCATCGTCAGATGGGGCATGTACGTCCAGCACACAGGCCTTTCTTTGATCTACAGCAATTACACAGGCTGTTTCCTCTGAGATATGAAAGTGCTTTGGTCCACTCTCCTGCTCCTCCCTGTCCTCTCGTAAACCTTCTGTACTTTACAGAATTATTTAAAACTAGGAAAATAGCTGTAGATTAAGCAATAGGAAAAGTCACTGAAGATTAAAACAGGTGAATAAACCCTTGTTGAATCTCAGCATCACTTACTGATTTTCACAGACAATGAGTTTACCTTTCATGGCTCAATGCAAATCTATGTGAAAACCAGATAGACTGTTTACAGAGCAAGGCGAGCATGGCCAAGCTCTTCCTTGGTTTTTTAAACTAACTCTTCTCTGATCAAGTGATTTATAAGTAGCAGGTCAGTGAAAGGCAGGGGAGGCAAAGGAAGCACTGAGAAAGGACAGTTATTTGTTTTTTATCAGCTTCAAGGCAATGATTCTTCCGAATCACAATTTTACTAGATTGTATCAGAACTTTAAGCTTGATGAAATTAGGATGCTTAAATGTAATTAATCCAAATTTACAACTTCATGAGATGGCAACTATCATTTCCTCACTTTATAATAATTGTCATTAAAGTGTCAGAAGAGAATTAACTCATTCCAGAGTTTTATCAAATTATGAAATTTGCTACTATCAGTAAAGTGGGAATTGGTAGTTAAGCTTAAAAAAAATCATCAAAACACTTCCATCCCACTAGAGGTCTGTTTTAGTTATAATTTACATTCACTGTAGTTGAAGTTTTGAGAATCAAGCAAGATAACATGCAATTATTTAGGATAAAAATACATTTTAAAATGCATTTTTGAATAAAGACAAATAGTTATTTCTATAAATGATTAAGATCCATCACAAAGAAGAGACCCCGATCATGGTGGTTACTGGTCTAATGGAATCCTGATTTTCCTCTGACAGTGCTACAATACATCTACTTGGTATCATTCAATAGCATTAATTAATAGCAAAATTAGCTGCCTTTGATAAAGAAGGGCAGAATCATCTTTAAAAGGATATTTAGCATCCTAAGTTGCAGCCTTGATCTAACCATACCTCAAATCAATTACATTCCTTGTCTATTAATGAATTGAATAGTCACTTAAACAGTTACTTAAATAGTTACTTAAATAGTTAATTAAACAAATTTCTAATCTGTTCAGAATTTAGTAAGACTATCTCTCTACTTTCCTAACTGCAATGCATGAAGTTAGGCGAATGGCAATTTGATTCATGTATGTACAGTCAACTAAGCCCATTAACTCCTTCCACCTCATGTCGCACATCTCTGTCCTCTGTTTAGATCTGAGGACCATGTACTGGTGGTACTTTTAGTAAATAGATTTGGGCTAACTGCACTGCCTAGTCTAATGCTCGACCACAGAGATATGATTTCTGGTATGAAATCCTTTTTTGTTGGTTTGTTTTTGTTTTTTGAGACAGGGTCTCACTCTG